TGACGCAACACTACTAAATGGCTATTTATTGATTTTAATTATGGGCCAAAACAATTACATAGATGACTGTAAACAGTTTGGGGATTCAATTAGTCATACCTATATTGCTGTGACATATTCTACCCTTCAGCGAGGTTTTTTGGATTACTTGATGAAAATAATGCCAAGTTCAGTTTATTTTCTTAATTTGTTACAGGCTACATTCACTTTGACATGAGTTGTAGGCCTAAGCTCGAATGCAACATTCAAAAGAAAATTTCTTGCTAATGGTACACTCAACTTTCATACACACACACACAAAATTCCACAACTAATTCAATTGAGTAACTGGGTAAATGCACGTACTGACACCATTAACACTGTTATGAAATATTTATATAATACTTCACTGAATGCTCATTGAATTCTCACATACTGATTACTCGTATTTATAATTTATTCATGTTTCTCCAAATTCCATAAAATGTCTAGATTATTACATGATCATGAACTTTCTAGGCACTCTGAAACCAATTTTATGCATTTCTAGATATGGCATCATAATAATGATTATAAGCTCTATGTAGCAAACAACTAAATTATAACATTGAAAATATAACTTACAACACTGGATTGCAAAGTTCCTTGAAAATTTTCTAACACACAAATAAAACATTACATTACACTTTTAATTCCCTAGGTCTTTTGGGTGGTTTTCTTATTTGAGGACTTTGGTATGTAGATGGACTGATCTCTTGTTCTGTATCATCACTGGCTGTCTTGTTTCTGAGGGAGTTCTTCCTAAGTAAGTGGTCAAGTGAAACCACGGGTGGCTGTATCCTTGGGAGTGGTCTCAACAGGAATCCTGGGCTCCACAGCGAGTTGTCTTTCTGCTCAGACATTCTTCTCTGGAATTATTCAGTTAGCAATTTTCTCACAAACGTCAATTCCAAAGATGATCACAGTTTGTGTTTTGGATGCCCGTCATTCTGGAATCTATAAACCGCATAATTCATTCTTTTCAGTAAAACATATAGCCCTGCCCATTACCTGCTTAACCTTGGACTTCTGGTTCTGTGGCAAGGATTATACAGCCATATCATACCAATTTATTGACATTCAGTCTTATTGGCATTAATATCATAGTGACTTTTCATTTTATTGCTAATTAATTTAACTCTTTCTTGGGTAAAGTCATGTATGACATCTCTATTCTTTAGATGTATGAGAGCTCTTCAACCATCAATCCCTAAAGACATACTGGAGTGTTTGGTTCCACAACATCCCAGTCACTAGATATAGATATATTATTCATAACAACTAGGGTGAGTGTTTTGCTTCTTGGTGGTACCCTCCCTGATGTCACTGGAAGTTCAACCTGTGGTGTAGTAATTGCCATGTAGTACACAGTGGTTTCCTAGTCATAGACTGTGAAGTTATTTGAATGTTATTTAACCTCGCATCCATGTGAAGTCATATGCATTTTTCTTTGATGTTAATCACCCACATATTATGGGGTATAGAGAAGCTTCCTATAATTAGGGTAACTTCCAACTTTCCTCTTGCTGAAACTTTACGTCCATTTGCTGTTCTCATCAATCCTCCTCCTTTATTCATCTCAGGAGACAATTCTCTGCTTTTCATTAACAAACTGAATCAACCTATTGTAGTTGTAGAACTAGTGATCATCAATATACTGCCAGGTTTTCCTTATATAATGAATAGTTATCTAATTTGGGCAAAAATCTAATTAATTCCAATTTTCTTGATGTCTGGTTAGCTCTTTGTTGCTCCTTTGAATTGGTGGATTGTAGCTCATTTTTGAGGTATTGCCCACTTTGATGTATTAATAACTGTTGATTCCTCACAGTCTCAACTGTAATGACCATGTTTTCAACATCTATAACAGTTCCCTCTTTACTGACACCATCAGTAGTAGTTTTTAATCCCAACAAGCTTTAATTTCCAGCTCCTAGCAACATGTTCTTCCAAGTTACGCTTGAAACAGCTCTTATCTTGTGGTTTATTTCCTCCATTTTGTTTAACTAGTTGTCTGATTAATCATTTATGTTCTTACATACTATCACCAGAGGGAGTTGATATTTGAAGACTGGTTGATGTGATGATTCCATAACTTCTAGATGGTGCATTTAGTTGTTTATCTGTTAATTTAATAGATTCAAGTTTCATAATCAACTAAAGAGTTTCTTTTAGAGATGTACACTGAATTAATTCACTTCAGTCTAATTCACATATACCTGTCTGTTATGGCATCTATACACTGGACACATGCTAATAAATTCATTATTTCATGAGGAACATTTTGCTAAAGTAATTGGGTAAAATTTTCAAAATCTTCCACAAGTTTGGGTAAAGTTTCTTAACTCCGTACCTGGTTTTGGAACTTTGCTATAGATGCTTTTTCTGATGTGTCACTCCAAATCAGTTGGATAAGAAAGTTACCAATGTTTGATAGTTGTTAAGGATCTCAGCTGAAAGGGTACTTAATGTTGTTAAGCTGGTCCTTTTAAATGAGCAGCAAGATGGATAGTTTGTTGTCCACTCATTCACCTTGGAAATGATTTTAAACTGAGTGTAGTATGCCTCCCATGCTACTTTTCCATCATAGTTCAATGATTTCATAATTTGACATGTTGTTGAATTAACTAGTTAAATCCTGGAACTGGATTTGGTAGAGACATGGCTGGAGTAGTCCAGGAAAGTCCTGTAGTAAAAGATGATTTAGCAGTAGTGGTAATAGGTGTAGACCAAATAAGTTCTCCTATTCCATGTTTTGTAGTAAATTGTTTTCAATTGGATTTATTTTTGTTCTTAATTCTTCTTTAAATATTAAATCTCTTTTTTTAACTCCTCTCCTGTTTCATATCTCTTGATCTTTCATTTTCTACAAAGTTCATCTTGGTTTTGTTTTATTTTTCTGTAAATTTCTTTTGATCTTTTTTCATTTTCTTTCTTCTTGATCTTTTAATTCTTTTTATCTTTCTTTGTGGTTTTTCTTTTTTCACAGTTTCATCATTTTCAACAGATTTCCAATCTCACTTCTAACTCAGATTGGCATCTTGAAGTTTAGACAAAACTATTTTATTTTGTCTAAAATAACTCCACCTCTAACCTCAGTATTCTAACATATTCTATCCTTGGGTTGCTTCTTTTGGATTATCTGGTAAAAATAATGCCAAGTCCAGTTCATATCACGATAATGAATTAGTTTATTTCCTGTATAATGCTTACTACAGGCTGCATTCACTTTGACACAAGCCGTAGGCTAATATACTCTCCTTTCTCCAACTTCCATGAAATGTTTAGACTATTACATCATAATGAAATTTCCAAGTATTATAGGAGTATTTTTATTACGTTTCTAGATTTAACTTCATCATCATGATTAGATACTCCCTCTAACAAACAATGAAATTATAACATTGATAATACATACACCTTACAACAATATCTATCAAGAAAGTATTTTACCTTTTGTCCTATGTTGTGTGCCAGTAGTGTATCTTTTATTTTGGAGGTGATGCTCTGTGTATCTAAGTCAGTGGTCAAAGCAGCCATCTCATACACAGATGGCTCTAAAGTGGTCACTGATATAGGACTATGATGGGGTTTCTTGGAGCTCATTTGTCTTCTCTGAGTTGGGGAAACAGCACTGGTTGGGCTGCTAGGTGCTAGTGAGATGCTTGGTGAGGATTCTGCAGTGGAAGGGGTAGAAATCTGCAGGTCCATGGGCCGAGGAAACTTCAAATTTACAGCACTCTGATTTTTGTCAAACATACTGTGATGTGATGACACAGATTCTATAGGATGATGTGGCAGTTTGCTGAAAGCTATTAGCAGAATTATATATTTCATTGTAATTTAAAAAACATAAATAGGTTACACAGATTATATCAAATAACTTAGCTGTCTTACGAGTGTGGTGTCGTGCAAATTTGCTACAATATAAAATCTATAGAAGAAATTTATTCAAATGTTTAACATTGTACAAACTTTCTATGAAACGTACAATCATTCAGAGAACTTTAGATCTAATTAACTTAAAAAAAATTGTTTCATTACTTATGCTTCAGTAATTCTTATCTTATGAACAAAACAGAATTACCAACGTATGTTAATAATCAAGTTTAGAATAAAATTATGCATGATTAGTATCATTCTTTCTAACTCAGTATTGTACAAATTCTGCACTAATGCTATCAGAGGCAAATTGATCTTTTAATCTATGCTAAATTAATAAAATCACTTTGTCTAATCTTTTATTACATTTTATTTGCTTCATTAAAATAAAGCTTGATTGACTTGAATAAAAAATAGTAATAACCAAATCTCTTCAAACATCATACCAGGTAAGTTAACAGATCCGCCAAAGCCTCCTATTCGCATCAATTTCTCTGGAGGAAGTTTGTACTGGGAAGCCACTAGCTTATGAACTGCATTTTCATCCTCGAGGAATATTTTCATGCGAATAAAGGGTTCCCGTCCTTTCTGAGTTAGCATATGCCAAGGTTTAGGTCTTGCCAGAAGATCTGAGACAGATCCTTGTGAGAGACCCAGAATGTTCTCACCAAACAGTCGTTGACTTATGGAATATTGGCTTAGATGTTCTTTCACCTTATAATGTTTAAAATACATAATTAATTTAGAAAAACAAAATGTTCTCAACTGGTCTATAACTAGTTTTTTATTAAGGTATAAAACGAATGTAAAAAAAAAATTGTATCCAAATTCTAACTAATGGAACTTAATTATGTCTTTATGGGAACACACTTCGAAACTTAGATATAATAGCTTTGAATTCTTCAGAGTGAGTAGAAATGGTAATGCTTCTAAAACTGAATAAGTCATTTTGAAAATGTTATAATTTTTCTATACTGAAAATGTATTTCTGCTCATAAATAACTATTCCCGTTCAGTGCTGCCTTCTATATGCAAAAAATTTTTTACACGTGCCACAAGCACTCCATCTCCCCTCAATTGGAATTGACTGATTCCGATGTGTCTCTCATGCAAATCATCATGCGACAACCTTCCACCAATAAGAGTGCAACATACTTTCATGATGCATGACTCTCTCTATTCAATTCTACCAAACTGTCACTTCGAGTTTTGGCAAAAGGTGGAAGCACTGGTTCTCAATGGGGAGGAAGGGTGGGAAGTGTGAGAGGAGGTAAGTACCTATCGGAAATACATTTTCACTATAGGAAAATTATAACTTCCGATATGGTACATTGCCTCCTCTCGTATAAATAGCTAGAATCTCACATTGAATAGGTGGAGGGACTGGTGCGAGAGAAAGAAAGAAGCATCCAAAGGACACTCCCTAAAATGAGACAGTCAGATTCTAAAATCTGATGTGGGGGACCTCACCACTTTTGAAATAGGTGTAATCTTAGCTCATTGTAGAAAGATGTTACACATATGGGCAGAAAACAGAGGAGCACATCCAACTGGGAGAGAACTAAGGTCAGATAGTGATCCAAACCATACCATATTTATGAAACTATATCCCAGAAAATATAAAAGTGGGTAAAATGAAAAGGATGTGTCCTAGGTGTAGAGTGGATAAGGCACGATGGACCATACACAACAAGTCAACTACATCCATACTCATGCTGCTGGTTGGGCAGAGAAAAACCCTCGACCCAGAGACCAACAGTGGAAAATGTTCCATTTACATTTAAAAACTTTCATGGAGGAAGGGTGAGTGGAACGAGCCAGAAAACAAGCTACCCATCGAGACAAGCCAGATCTCCTCACCAAGGACTGGATAAAAACCGAGCATGAAGATGGAGGACAGGAACGGCTGGATGAAACACCAGTGACCGAGGTTGATGAAGAAAGGATAGAGTCAGAGAAAGAGGTAATGAAGAAGTAAGTAGGAGCTAAAGAAGCCATGGAAACAATGGCTGAGTCAGCCCGTAATGAGCAATCAGAAGGACTTCATATGGAGAGGCATGGATGATCAAAATCACCCAGTGAAGAAGTCGAATGGGAGGATAGACATTTAGGTATTTGTTGGTCCAGTCCTGGCTGAAAGCATCAAGAGCAAAAGGATGAGGAACTGGAGACCAAAAAAGAGGCAATTTGTGGTTTAGAGAGTGCCAAAAGCATCGATATAAGGAGTACCCCACTGAAAGCAAAGCCAGTGGAAAACAAGAGGATTGAGAGACCAATCTGTTAGACATACTTTGCCTGTACAGAAAAACCGATCCACGACAAGATTGAAAGCACCCAGAACATGAAACACAATGATATGGATATCTAGTTTGTGAGTACAAAAAAGAAGATCCAATGTATGAATACAGAGGGATCAAGAACCAGTGCCACCTTAGTGATTGAGATAAGCAGCCACTGTAGAATTGTCAGAATGGATCATTACCAGATTATTTCTGGCCAGATGGAGAAAATGAACCAAAGCACAACATGCAGCAAGAAGGTCCAGGATTTTGATATAACAAGATCTCTTGGCCACAGATCAATACCTCAAAGCTTCCTTTTGATCAACACATGCTCCCCATCCCTGAAGGGAAGCATTCATGAAAATGTGTAAATCTGGACAAGGAGGAGGAAGCAGGACACTCACCAATGTGTGATTTTGTCCAACCATCAATGCAGAGCATCGACAAGGGTAGCAGGAAGGGTAATAAGAGCCAGATTCCACTGGTTGTGAAGAGACCAGTGAACAGTCTGCATATGATCCTGATCTAAAGGGACAATAGAAGGAGCAGTAAGAGCATGGAGAACTGGAAGCTCCATCAAATGAAGTTGAAGAGTATAAGGTTGGGCCCAACTAAGATGGGTGTTGAAAAAATACCAAAATGAACAAGATATTGGGTAGGTTGCAGGAATGACTTCTCCAACTTAATTAACCAGCCCACTAAAGCCGCCTCCAGGAGTAGCTGATGAGTGTGAGGGGTGGACTACTGTTCAGAATGACCTAACAGTACCCAGTCATCCATATAATGATGTAAAAGACAACCCAAGAGCATATAAGTGACGAGCAAATTCTCTGACACCCAACAAAAATATACGGGGCCAAAGAATGCCCAAAGGGCAGTGCATGAAACTGATAAAACACCCTGATGTGAACAAATTGAAGATAGGATCGTGACTGACGAGATAAGCATTTGCGACATCCATCTTAGTCATCTATAAACCTGAAGAAAAAGCCCACCTGAGAGTGAGAAATGGCTACACGGTAAAATGGGGCAAATTGAGAAATTGATTGAGGCAGGAAAAATCTATTACAGGCCACCAGTCTCTGATTTTCTTGTGGACAACAAACAGCCTGGAATAAAAGCCTGGAGAAAGATGATAAACAGGTTCGATAACTTGTTGAGACAGAAGGTCTTGTACTGCCTCTGACAGATGCTGACTGGTGGTAGGATTCTAAGGCATGGGAAAGGAAATGGGTACCTGAAACAAAGAGGGGGAGAAGAAAATGTCGAACAAGTCCATCTGATAAAACCCAAAGAACCTATAGATCTGTGGTAAAAGGTCACCAAATGGGAACAGTTTGTACAATTGAGCTCCCATCAGACTGGAACCCACTGGGTAGTCACTGGTACCGTTGGCGACGTGGCCATCTACATCAAATAATACGACGAGATGAGGAACACCTGGATGGAGGAACAGGTAAAGGCTGAGAATGACTAGGACGGGAAACAAAATAAGGGACTGTATTGGCTCCAACTGTGACAAATGTGCTACCAAAGAGGATATTATAGAATTTTGTTGCACAGACTCCACATGTGATTTCAAAGTATCAGGTACATGATTGAAAACATACCACCTAAGAAAAGGGGCCTTACATAAATCTCTAAGATAAGAGGCTGGCAGAAGATTTCAACAACAGAGAAACCACGTGCGTAAAGCAAGAACTGAAGAGGACAAATGAGCCAACATGGAGGTAATAAAGGAGAGGCTTTCCCTCTGAAAACCCTCAGAATCTCTGTAGATCATCTCGAAAAGGAGGTGGGTAGTAGAAAAATACCGTTGAAGGGAAGTAAGAGTAAGACTAAGGCATAAAAACTGGGCATGGGTTAAATGCACAGGAAAATCAGGGGCTGCCCCCACACAGGTAAAATTGATCTATAGGCCATGAAGGGCGATGCATGCTGGCACTCTCAACCAATTGTGAAGCAAATTGCTCAGCATGAACCAGAATATCCGGGAAGGGTGGGAAAATCAAATACTGAGATGAAGAGATATCATGCAACAAAAAGGACGGGGATCATAGAAATTTGGGGAAATGGATAAAAGATCACCTGAGAAATCATGTCTAAAAATGTGGTATTAGGCCTAGCTGATTCTGCTGGTGGGGCAGAAGAAGGCATGGCAAAATCTGGTATTGGAAAAAGACTATCAAAATCTTTATTGGCCCAAACAGGTTTGGCTTCTTCAGGAGGAAGTGGGGCAAGTTCAGGAGAAGAAGGTTGACCAATATAACAATCAATCTCACGTGGATGATCGCAGATAAATCTAATGACAGGTCTCCCCCACCTGCAGCCTGTGAAATAGTGCTAGTAGAAGGTATGATACTCGAAGTGGTAACATGAAACTCAGAATACATTGTAGAAATATATACGAAACAAAAGTGTTTGATGTAAAAAATGCAAATGTGAAAAAAAAACGAAATTAAAGTAAAAGACTTCTTCAATGTAAAGAAAAAAATTAATGAAGAAATCCCACTTCGGAAATTAAATGATTAAGGTCACGACAAAAACGTCTGAACATGAGTACTGCCAATTGAGAAGTGATAATTCAGTAAAATTGAATAAAGGGAGTCACGTGCATCATGAGAATAGGTCCCACTTTTTTTGGTGGAGGGTTGTCGCATGATGCTTTACATGAGAGATGCATTAAAATCAGCCACTTCCAACTGAGGGGAGATGGAAGGCTTGTGGCATGCGTAAAAATTTTTTTTTCGCATATAGAGAACAACACTGAACGAGAATAGCTATTTATGTTAGCAGAGGTAATGTACCGTATTGGAAATCTTTTTTATCAAATAGTATACGTAAATGAGTATTGTGATATTTTTCAGCAAGTAAGTATACATAAACTAGACTCACATTTTTTACAATTTCCTCAGTGTTTAGGTTGTTGTATTGATCAAACTGCTGCTGAGTTATAGGTGGAAGAATTGCCTTTGTGGGTTTTTGAGGGTTATTGGAGATACTTGTTAGGGATGACTGAGACAGCAGTGAGTTTGTTATGGACTGCATCTGTTGTAATGGTGATGCTGAAGTGCTAAGATCTTCATCAGAATTGGGCATTTCAGCATATGACATTATGGATGTTGGAGGAAGGGGAATGAGATTAGAGTTATGTTGATGTGAACTTGCTGCTTTGACAAGACTGCTTACAGCCTCTGTCTTTGGTCGTACTAAAGAAAAAGCACTTCCATGATGGCATGTGCTATCTGTTTCTGAACTGCATCCACTCCTTTGTTCATTTCTTTTATTCTGAGATTGCACGGTGGCATCAATAGGCATTTCCTGTCGTGGGTGTGTATTTGCTATGCTGTTTGGATGGCTGAATGTTGTACATGCAGTTTCATTTGTTAAAGCTGGAGCTGGAGTGAAATGGCTGAGATCTGATGCACCTAAAGGAAAAACTTGGGACAGGCATGACAGCTCTTGGTGATAGATGTTAAGAGCATGTCTTATTTCTTCTTGGGTACGTTCATATTGGTTTTGGGACAAACAGAAACCTTCTTCTACCCTTTGTCCCATAAGTTTTGCAAGTTCCTCTTGATAGATTCTTGAAACCATCTCTTTTGGTATGTCATCATTATCATATTTTCTAGATCGCCGATAATTATTGGCTTGGTATTGATCTCTACAATCATTATTACTATTTAGTGACCCATCATTCCCACCACCTCCTTCAATGCCACCCCCTTCTCTTTCTTCCTCTGATCTAGGAGTATTTCCATTCTGTGAGCAATAACCTGTATTCCCATTATGCAGTGGACTCTTTTTGTTTTTGCTGTTAGAATTAAGAATGGCATGTTGAGCCTCATTTAAAATTTGTGTTATACGTTCTTCTGCTACAGGATCTTCTTGCTTACTTGATGGAAGTCCAGAGTCTTTACCTAAGATACACCAAGTAGAATTAGAACACAGTGACAAAAAAAATACACCAAATAATGTAAGAAAAAGTTTGAAATAACTTGAAAATACTAATTGTTTATGATTTTTTTGTCACATTGTGTAAAGTATGCTTGAACATCATTACCTCTCTTTACATCTATTACATTCTGCCACCTAGTGGCTCAGTAGTAAGCCTTTGTGTCAACAACACTAAAAACTGGGTTTTGATACCCATGGTTGGCAGAGCACAGATAGCCATTGTATAGCTTTGTGCTTAGTAACCAACCAACCAACCAACTATTACATTCTAAAAGCTGTATGTTATAATTTTACAAATTAATGTTAAGATCTAATGTTTAACTTTCTAGAATTTGGTTAATACCAAATTATTATATCAGAAATTTATTTGACTAATATCAGTTGCCTGTGTCATTATTCACTTTGTCGTAACTTTAGTGACTTTTTGATAAAAGTTGGAAAAAAACATGTACATTTTCCCAAAAAGTATGATAAAGGAAGAATATTTTAAGTGAAAACAAAAAAGTACATGGTAATGTTGAACATTTTTTTTTGTGAAATCAGAAACACAGTATACAGTTTCCTTATCTCTGCAGCCTCCTACCACATTCTCCTTACAACTACCTCTTTTACACCCTTTATTTAATTGACACATAAGGCAATAAACATATATGGTATTATTAAAACTGTAACAATATAAACATATTTATTGTAAAGCAGTAATCCTTTACTTCATAATTAATTAATACAAGTATATTAAACGTTTTAGTCTAGTCTTTTAATTTTCATTTCTTGTTTATAGTTTCACTCAGTTCATGTTTTTCTTTCTACTTTTCTCAGTTGGATTCTGACTGTTGTAAGGTTTCATAGAGCCTTGTCTTATTTCTCCTTTGCTACTGATATCTTAGAAAGAGCAACTTCATCATCATGAAATATTGCCTTTTTTAAAGGAGACTCTAGATTACTGCCTCCTTTGTCCAAGAGTGATCTAGGAATGTCTATCTCACTTTGTGGCTCTTTTTCCTTATTTCTACTAAACTACTTTCTTTGCTGTGCAGTAATTGTTTTTCTTTCTTCATTTCCTTTTGTTAGTTTTTCTCCTCTTCCCTCAGGTTTTCAGTGTGAATTTTTTTCCCTTGCCTATCTAGCCTTTTTGGTTTCCTATTCAATCTGTCATTTGCACTCTGCATGAGCTGTCCTGTAAGCTTTCAGCATCTCTTTAGTGATTGGAACTTTGCATGGAGTCACTGTAATGTCTCACAGTTCTGACAATATTGATAGACTGTTCTGATAAACCTGGTTTCTATCTTGTTACCATCTGATTGTTGCTGGAAAACACACTTTCAACATTGCACTGCCATGCAGTACTGTTCTTATAAGCTTGAAATATTTAGCTTAACCACAACACTTTCCTCCTTAGGATCATCTCTCCAGCACTAATCTAATTTTCTCGTTTCTGATTCTTCCTCACTAGTCATATGAACAGTTTCTAAATACCTCTTTTTCAGGTATACCCATTAACTAATAAATATGACACTCGTCTGCAAGAATCTATTCAGCTTTCATGACACATGGAAACTTCTTAGCGTTGTGAACAAGTACAGCAGCTGTTTCTTTTATATTACATGATGAAGACAGCTAAGATCTTGGACAGTCTAAAGACAGCTAAAGTCTTGAACAGTCTAAAGAAGACTAAGGTCTTGAACAATCTAAAGACAGCGAAGGTCTTGAACAGTCTAAAGACAGCTAAGGTCTTGAACAGTCTCTTCTTAAATGGAATATAACTTAATAAATACCCAGTAACTTTCTGGAAGAATAAATGAAGATCGGGCAAGAACAGTTTCTGTTGTTGTTTTGTGAGAGACAACAATAAACTGTAGATACCATATTGAAATACCAATTGAAATTTTATTATCAGTTAGTTAGGCATTTCTATTTTCTCCATTTACGTTTTTGCAGATCTTTTCCCTCTCCTTTACCAACTACATCTGACAAAACAAAGCATGAGAATTACATCAGCTCCAACAATGAATTCTAAAAACTATGTGAAGATTGGTCTTTCTAAATGGAAAAGTTCATCTGAGCTCAAGATAAAGCAGACTAAAATATCTTTTCTATTTTTTATATTACAAATACATGCTAACATACTGTTACGTCACCGTTCGTTAATTAATTTTCCGTAAATAATTCGTTCCAACGAAACTTTACCGATACAAGTCCTTTCTTAAATAAAGCTGGTTTATTCTTTCCGAATACAACTTTACCGATACACTTAATCTCAACAATCGCTCTATAACAAACGCTAGAACGTCTCACGTGCTCGTGCTCGACAATACT